TTATTTTTGCCCCTGATGGAGAGATTATTTTATCATACTTCATGGATTGGTCTCTTGCTGAACTCTTGACCTGAAGTGGTGACACGTTGCCTGTGTGTATATATATATATATATATATGTTTGTAGTTGTGCAACAAACTGAGTGGACCATCTCCGGTGCAAATCCAAAACGGCTGAACATTTTGTGTCGTTCAGGCTCTTTCCCTCAACATCCTGAACATAGCTGGCTGCTGTTCAGAAATGGCTGAGTGGACAAGGTGACTCAATGCCAACATATGCATGCTTCCGTGTGAAATTGCAAAATCCTCAAGAGAATCTGCAGGATTGCACACACACACACACCAAAAATAGCACCTGTCAACCGAAGGCGCCACCTGTCTACAGTACACACACACACAATCCTTGCAAGAGCAAGGGTTCGCTCTTGACTGTACGCATCCAGTAAGTCATGCGCGCTAAGAAACACTGAAACCAATGACTCAAAGGCCTCTTTGCCGACAACATGGATTCAGCTGCGTTGAAACCTTAATGCTCTCAGCCTTTCAGTCAACCTTCACTGGATGGTGCGGCGGCGGCTGCCAGCCACAGTTCACTAACTCAAGCGCACAGCACCTGTAGAGCCTGGCATGAGCAGGAACTTGGACAGTCCCCATTGGCCTCAAACACCAGGGTTCCCTCCCTTCAAATTGGTGTCTGCTTAGTCTTTCGCTGAGTACTAAAAACACCCAACGTGCTGTCCTTTTCACTGTCCTTCTGATTTCCAGTTGGTTGCCTCAGCGTAAGCCACCAAAATTTTGAGTGCCCCATCACCTCGAAACACAAACTAAAAAGAAGCGGTTGCATTTTGGGGGGCTCTCCAAAAGTTCTTCGAATTCCTGGTGGCTTCCCACCCCAATTTAAACCGCCAGTTAGCTAGCTAGGTGAGCTCTGAATAAAATGCAACACGACGGGAGTTGTGGACCGCTCCTGCAAGCTCACCTCGCCAGCGCATCAAATGTCCTCGTCGAACTCCGTCTGGGCAATTCCCTGCAAAATGCCAAGCCCAGGCGGATGCCCAAGCCGATGGACACAGTCCATCAGTTGAAATGGTTGAAGCCCTATGACTGGCGGATTTTGTCCGTCCAGTGGTAAGGAACAAGAGAAGTAGAAGCCCTGTTCCCATGGTCTGGGGCTGATTTACTTGCTTTGGGCGATTTCGAATGGGATGGTATCGTTCTTGGGTGTCACTATGTCGTTTCTCAAGGTTACTGACGCTGGTCTTTGGGGGGTTTATTAATCACCGAACGTTTAAAAAGGGTCGGCTCGTTGACATCAGCCTGCGCTTCGCCTTGCCTGACACCTGCGCAAGTATGGCCCGCCTGATAGCCCGCATAGTCATCCTGACCGGCAGCTGCATTGGGGAAAACCAGCCCATGCCGTGATACTGTGCGCCGACAAATCCTGCAATAAACCCCCTACTGGTGGGGGGCTGTATCTCATACGTGACCACTCCAGCTTTTGGTATCACAGGAAGCGCCCCCGAAACGCATGGGAAACGACGAAATGAAGCTGCCCGGCCTTCTGACGATAGTATTCGTTCCCAAAGCCAGAGATCGCCCCCAGCCTGAATCGACGAAAAGGGAGTGCCAATCCCAATCCATAATCCCTCTTGCAAAAACCACTGTTACAAAGGAGACGAAATTCCTGGGATCTTGCCGATTGGCTTTTAACCATCTATATTAATATGCAGATGTGGCTTATGCCCATCAACATAGCGACCTGGCCACACATAGCACTTGGCAATGAGCATGCGATGTTGATGCCCACAAACAGTTTGCGTGATCCCTTGAACCAGGGTCCACCCGAGGGACGGGATGCAATTGAAATAGCAGTAGCCATTGTTCTATTTCCAAATTCCTCTGTAGCAAAACCGAAACCAGACAAGCCTTGAAACCTGAGAACCCAAAACTCTTTCTTCTTTAGACATTCTAAGCCAGGGCTGTACCCCCAGAATTTTCTGGGCCTCGAGCATTTGCTCCGAAAGGCAACGCCACACAGCCGGGAGGCTGTGAGAGCTGGGGTGCACTGGGGCCAAGGACAGGATGCCGATGGGGTAGCAGTAATGCTCCTTGGATGTCTTTGAGGCTCGTGCATATTGCGGCTAGAGAAACCAAAGTGAAGCGTGGCCCCTGTTTGGATTGTGAAGTATCAGGCCAACCGATTTGCATGCTACAGTGATGGTTGTGGTTTGGACTGGATTTACGAACCAGGCAGGGCTTGCAAAGCCAATGACGAACCTCGTGTAAAAAACCTTGCATGTTCTGCAATGCTCTGTGCTGGCTACACGGGGCCGAGACCTCTCGCATCAGGGCGACTCGCATATGGTACACCTGCACACAGCATCCCTAGCGGAATTTCCCGAAACCTCCCCGGAACCTGCCAGAACCGAAAAACCTCCCAAGCTGCCAGGAACGCTCTACCAAACTTGCGGGTCCCACAATGGGGCTCCTCCGGCTTTCCCACGCACCCAAAACAACGCTCCCCCTTTTGGACCTGCCGCCGTCCAAAAACAATGGGTTGTGGATTTTCGCACGTCCGCGCTGCATGGATGGTGGGGGGTTGAACAAACCACCTCTAAGTTGGCCATTCCAAGCAGGAGGATTGTGCTAATGGTTGCCAGGATTTAAGAGAACGTGGTGGGTGCGTTGCTGAGGGTACAAATCTTGGGGTGGTTAAAGGGAGATCAAAAGAAAGCCCACCTACTTTGCCGCATCCCCATATCCAGAGACTTCACACAAGCTCAAGGCCCTTGACTCGCGCACTCGACTCGCACTCGGCCTCTTCGTCCTCTACATCTAGCAGCCCGAAGGTGAAGCCAAACACCACGCCCATGGCCTGAGTTCGGATCGGGTTTGGGTGTGGCCATTTGTTTCCGGTTGCTGTTCTGTCTAGATGTAGTAGGATTGATCTTGCAGTACGAAGAATTTTCGTGTGCAGTGGGAAGTGCTTGCGAGAAACGAAAAACGGCGGCTGCCACGCTTTCTCTGTTTACTTGCATGTTGCTGATTTGCGCAGGCGGTAGACTCAGCTGCTGTGTTTTTGGGCGATCACTGTGTGTCCTCCGCATCTTATTGGCGTCGGCTCCTTTAAATGTCCTCGCTCGGGGCTACTTCCAATGAGCTGTTCGCATGGAAACCCTGAGAATCCGTCTTTGTTTGCTGCATGTTTGCGCATTCTGGGTGAACCTTAACTGAGGCGTTTGGTTTGAGGCGTTGGGTTTTATGTTGGCTTAGGGTGAGTTGAGGGACATTTTTCAACTTCATTCACAGAGCAGCAGGATTAAACGTGGTTGGAGTAGGTGTAAGGCCCCCCGGCCTCTGCGCAACTTATCACCGGGGGGGGGGGGGGGGCTCCTGCTGATGCTTGGGAAACCACGGGAAACACTAGTCGCGTGCAAACTAAAACGAGGGGAAGATAGCGGCCGGTCAATACATGTCTTTACCATCTCTCATCTCATGTCTTAGTATCTTTCTCCCTTCCAATTCAGGTGATTAAGATTGATGTAAGCTTTTCTGTCGTTCGACCAACAAGCTGAACCCGATACAATGGCCGGGCATCGGAGGGCGCAGCTGTTCAATCAGGTGAAACCCTTGGCGAAGACCAGCTCAGTGCCCCACCAGGGACACGATGAGAACAAGAAAGACCTGTGCAGCCAATGTGTCTGTCTCCAATCCAGCCAGCCGCAGCCAGCATTCAATGTGCCCCCAGCTAGCGTTGGAATGTTGTGTAAACCTCAGCTCCAAATTGTGATTTGTGTGTGTATCGCAGCAAACGTCGATGAATATTGACCGTGTGGTTCGCCTTCACAAAAACTGGGTCTTCCAGGCAAGTCAAGGGTGTGAAATCTTTGGAACCCCTGTCCACACGGCACCCCATCACCCCCTTGAGGGCGGAATTAGAACCACCTGGGTCCCACTACTTCTGGCAACCTGGCATTTTTTTGGAGGTTGAATGTCATCAAGGCAGGGGGCTCATGGGGGGTGGGTGTTTGCATTGTTTTTCGCGCTTTTAGCATGTTTTTTGACATTGTGTTTCTAGAAGTTACACTTTCTTGTACTTGTAGCAACAGCAAAGAGTGAAAGTGAGCAGCTGCAATGGACAGTGGAGAAGCAATGCACTATTCTGACAAACAAGTTGCGCTTTCTTGCATTTGCAGTGATAACGACGAAGAGTTACGGGGAACAAATGCAATGGATTCAGGACTGCAACGCACTGTTTTGACACAACCGCCATAGAGTCGAAACTAGCTTGCCAATTGCAATACATCAGCTGTCACTTCTTGGTGCACGCGTAGGCCTTGCTGCTGCGCTTGGCGGGCTTGGAGTACCTTGGCCTTTTTGCGATCAATGGATTCGTTGTGGAGCTTGATTCAATCAGACTTCCCTTCTTATTGATTTTAGTCAGCACTTCCTTTCCAAGCAGGATTCCAATTGGAAGTTATTTAGAACCTTGAATTTAATTGGTAGTTTAAATGTGTAATGGTATCCAAATATGCTTTCAATTAGAATTTAGTTGTATATTTGTGTTATTATTTTGAAGTAATTTGTACACAGGATTTCTTTCCAAATCTAAATGGGGATTTCTTTCCAAATGTGACTTTGACTTGATATGGGCATAACTAGAATTTAGTAAGGAAAGACAAGCTGGTAGTTTCTTCTAACTGATTCAACTATAGTTATTATTTTGTATCAGAATTTAGATGAAATGTCCTTTCTAAGTATCTAGGATGTGTCATTAAATCTTAGCTATTAGGCTATGATCTAGATATTCTGGCAAGGAAAGCCAAGCTGGCTGTTTCTTCTGCAAATGTTTCCTTCTTGCGGATATGTGTTTCTTCTTGCTGACCCCAACCTCAAAAAAATGCAAACTCAGCCCCTATGTATCCACGCTGGCTGAGTTAGGGTCTGGCATTGTGTTTTTGTTTTTGTTGTTTGTGTGTGTGTGTTTTGGGTTCTCTCCGG